CCCCGATATTTCCCCCCACCAATCCGATTTTCCCAATTCTCTTCTTTTCTTGTCGTATGTCTGCCGCCTCTCTCTTCTCGTCTTTCTCCACCGATTTCAGTCCTCACAATCCGATTTTCCCAATTCTCTTCTTTTCTTGTCGTATGTCTGCCGCCTCTCTCTTCCCGTCTTTCTCCACCGATTTCAGTCCTCAGTTGGGACGCCTCTCTCTCTCTCTCTCTCTCTCTCTCTCTCTCTCTCTCTCTCTCTCTCTCTCTCTCTCTCTCTCTCTTTCTTTTTCTTGCTAGAATCCTCCATCCCGTTTTCATTCACATTTACCCTATCCCTCTCGCGATTCAGGACCTTCGTCATTATCCTGCTCTCTTCTTCCCTTGCAAGCTGTTCCCCTCCCTCCGCGCTGAGCCCCTCTTCCTCCCTTGCGATCTCTTCTTCCCCGCCTTGTCCTCCCCCCCCGCCCCCTACACAACCTCCGTTCCATACCCTGTTGCTTTAGCATTCGTTCTCCTGCACTTCATCGGTTCGTCCATCCTCACTCTACATGTATGTGGACCTGTTGCTGATCCGCATACGTTTCCAAATGTTCGATAAGTCCAAATGCATCTTGTCCCCATTTCAGGCCACATGCATGAAGAATCTTCTCTACTGGAGCGAAACCCCTTTCTCCTCCACTCCATCCCACGTCCTGATCCCCCACCAGGCCCCGCTCCCCCCCACCTTCCCGATCCGCGCTGCTCATCCCCTTCTTCCCAAATTGGGTGCCCGACCCACACACCCTCCTCCCCTTTTTTTTCAGGACCCTCGTCGACGTTCTCCCCCTCCCACAACCTCCTTAGCGCCAGCAAACTTACCTTGCATGCTTCACCCTATGCCGACCCGGTCTCTTCCTGTGCTTCGTCTGTCATCGCATCCCGATCCCGACCCACCAAATCCCGATCCCCTCACCCTGCTGATGCCGCCTACTCACCCCCTCCCCCCCCTTCGTCCGTCTCCTGCTACTCTAACGCCTCAGACGTTGATGGCGACCGTTCTCCTCCCTGCCTGATCAGGCACCTAACCTCCCCCTACTGTCCCTTCTCCCCTTGCCTCTCCGCATTCACGGCATGATCCCCGCCTACGCCCGATAGACGCCTTGCACAGCTTCTGTCCCACTTGCAGTAGAGCAACCCCACAAAAAACTCCAGTTGCAGCACTAAACGAATGCCACGGAGAGAGAGAGAGAGAGAGAGAGAGAGAGAGAGAGAGAGAGAGAGAGAGA